CGGAGTTATTTAGACGGTTTTGCGAAATTTTTGTCAGATCCCGCCGGCGGGACCGCTGACCCCAGGGGGTTAATGGGGGACTGGGGATCTAAAGTGAAAACTGAAATTATATACAAATGCTTTACGTAAAATATCTGCTTAAGCCAATCAGACCTACATTCTGAACTGCACACATTGGTAGACTCTGTGCTAATCCCCTCTGTGGTACAGCCTTTACCTGTGTCAGTCCCCCATCTGCATGTCCAGATAGGCTCACCTTACTCTCCGCTCCAGCTGCTCCTCCAAGGCCTGCAGCCTCTTCTCCCGATCCCGTAGCTCCCTGGTGAAGCTGAAGTCCTCCACCTGCTTCTTCAGCTTCGCTGAGCTGCGCCACTGTAATGAAGAACCACATGGGCTTTAAAGGGGTCATATGTGTGTCACGCATGTGACAGGCGGATTTCACATAGATGTGCTCTGAACCATGATGCCACAAACAGGAGGTGCTTACACATCTAGAAGCCAAACCATTTAAATAGGCATTCACACACCTATGGCAATCTTAAACATTTCTGTTAATCAATGGTGTCAACGAAATTTAAGTAGACACTCTACAAAGTATTTAGAGTCACTGTCATTATACGTTTGAATCCAAGAACAAAAATGTTTTAAATTTTACAAAAAACTCATTACTGCGATACCAAAGCAAAAAATACAGATCTGGAACAGCGAGATGAACAGGCTTGTAATTCTATGTCCTGCTCCAGGAGGTGTGTCAAGTAGGCATACACTAGTGATGTAGTCAAGACCGCCTAAACAGAGACCAAGTCATTACCAAGATCAGAGTGTACTGAGACTGAGACAATGTCAAGACCAAGGCAGGGCGAGACCAAGACAAGACCAAGATCAAGGCAGGACTAGACCAAATCAAGATCAGAAAAAGACTACATAACATAACACACTATAAAATTTGGAGCATAGGTTTTGGGATAAGGCAGTATGGCCTAAAATTTGTGTCACAGTATAATTGGAACCATAAATGTTTTTTTCTTAAAATTTCTACATAAATGCTTCTATACAAATGTAACATTTTTTCAAATAAGACACACCTTATTGGTTGCATTTGAACTTTGGGTGTAAAACGTCCTCAATCCTTCGATCACAGTACTGTGTTAACCCACTGAACCCAATCCATTTTTGAGCATCTTTCTATCCCTTTGATTTTACACTTATTACATTGTATGTACGTGAGTTAGCCACATATGCTTTATAGTTTTGTTTTCCGGACATTCTGGGCTACTCAGGTATATCATAATTTGACATGCAAATGCGGACACAGTCTTGGTATCCTTTTTATGGAGAAAAACTACTTGCGCCTATTGAATTGGGGACCTTTCTATGGCTTAGTCTTGTGAAGGAATACATAGTTAGTGCCAGGCGGAAATGAATATCTTTGATTTTGCATCCATTGAAGTTATGTGATAGACAGCAATGCATGGTTTTATATTTTTTTATTTATTAATTTTTAACATCTGAAAGAAATTGAAATATAAAAGCATTCATAATGCATACTAATGGCCAGTATAACAATTAAGGATGCTGTGTGCTGCATTATGAAGGTATTTATAGTGCATCATAGATGAAACCTTCATAGAGCATTCACAATGGATATTACACATGACTATGTGTTATTCCTTTTTACGAATAGTTATAGCTGTGCCTATAATACTTTATGAATGTATTATAGTCCATGATGAAGGTATGTATAATGCAACATAATGACTGCTTTAAGTAAAGAGTTACCAATATTTTTCCCCCCCAGAAGAGTGCATGGATGATTGCAGAAGTGAATATGTGCTTTGTTTTCCATCTAATACAATTAATATAGATTATTTATGTATTATTAGGTGTGCTTTTTCATGGAAAATGTTTAAAATATATGATTAATAATTCACAGGATTACTACGGAATACTGCAACTTGGACGACTGGATCAATTAAGTTCTCTCAATTGCAAAGATTCATGTCTATGCCTTATACCTAGGACTGGGTGATATGGAAAAAATCTTCTCTTGATATTTTTTTTCTCATATCAGCCAATATCGATATATATCACAATATGAATCAAATCACTGTCAAACCACCTTTTTATTCCAAATTGACATAAATAACATAAATTGTAGTTTAAATATTATTTATTTTGTCAGAAGTCAAACATAAATGTTCTGTAGAACACTGCAATAAATAAAAAAGGATGGATTTAAGACATAAAAAGGACACTTAAATCCGGTCATTTAGAAAAGGTAAGTAGTTTAAAAACAAACACATACATACATATGGGTCAATGACATATAAGGTTTTTCAACATGCCAATTTTAAAATACCAAAAATATGAATATCTTTTGCAACTGTTCAAACATTAAGATTGTTGTGTATGCATAAATTAATATTAATTTATTTAATTAAGTAATTCTAGTGTTTTTTCATAAAGATAATTTGCCCAAGGCCTTAAAAAATGTCATGTGGTGCGACCATAATTTATCTCAAAACTAATACATTTTCTTAACATACTTAATATTTTTTTTATACAAGTTTTCAGTAATATCAAGTGTTTAGAAACACGTGTTTGCATTTCTTTTGAGTTTTGTAAATTATGATCCTTTATTTTAGCTCTATAATGTCACAGTCGCCGTATAAATGTAGTTAACCGACTAATTTTTCCTGTAAAACACATAAAACTGATAAAAATGTTTTAAAAATACCAT